TAGATGTTGAAGTCAAAGGAAAGGCTGCTTGAGGGTGGAGGAGATACCTTACCTCAGTGTTCTCCCTCTCAGAGGTGGAAAAAGACAGCTTTATTTCACCAGCACTTCAGATTTAATCCTTCACTGATATTGTTGGCAATGCTGTAGTGCTTCAAAGTGCAGTTGAGGATACATAACAACAGTACACTCCTGTGTACAAAAATTCCTTTCTTATAGAAAATGGGCTCCTCAGTGTGGCTGAGCTGGAAATGTTCACTTTGGCAAACTAATTTCTATGCGAGGGGGTATCTTAATAAATGTGAGTATGCAGTCATATAGCTTTCCCACCTGCCCATCATAGGATCAAAGTTTGGGCTTGGACAATACCTTTATTGGAACATTAAAAAAATTACAAAACAAGATTTTGAATTATAAACAAATGCTATGAGTTTTGAAATTCACTGAGAACATTGCCAACTTCAGGGGCAACTATAAAAGCTGCCCATTGTTCCTCTACACCACCAGGGGGACTCCTGTGGTCAGGAGGGGGGCATAAATGCCCAACCCTGGACCTTGGAAGGCCACATCTGTGCATATAAGACCACCAAGCACTTTTCTTGCAAAAATTGTATTATTGGAAAATCTCTTTTGAATGCTGTAGTGGCCAAAATAATAAAAATAAAAATAAAAATAACAACAACAACAACAACAACAACAACAACAACAACAACGACAACGACAACGACGACAACGACAACGACGACGACGATGATGATGATGATGAATTTGGATGTGTGGGGGCCTCAGGGTGGTATGGCCCAATGCATGGCAACACTGCCCCATAGAGTGTGCCATGTGGCAATGAGCCTTTAAAAATGTTAACTTTTGCGGGGAGGTATGGGGATGCAAGGGGGGGAGGGAGGCATGTTGCTCACTCCAGCTTTTGTTTCCAGAAGAATGAACGGATGTTTCCTCTTTGCAACCAGCATGAAGGCAGTAATTTATGGCACACTGGATTGTATTGAATTGACAGAGGGAAGCAAGAGGAAATTGTAGCATTACTGATTTGCAGGAGTGCAGTTTTGGTGGCAGTAGCACCCGGGCAATGGAGTGAAGATGGTCATAAAATGGAAGGCCCTGATGCCCACAGGCAGCGTGTCACCCATGTCAGTTTTCCAAGATGGAAGAAGTGGTTAGTTGATTTGCTACAATCCCTAAACAAGGCTCTTGCGTTTCTAGAAGACTGTCCCAATTAATTATATATTTCTCATGTAAACACTGGTGTTAAGAGAGGCTAATGGGCCAGAACACTGGCTGTTCCAAGAACAATAACAACACAAATAGAAGTCCCATTAACACCAAGAGCAGGCTACCCATTAGAAAATGGCATCCTGCTGCCGTTTGGTCATTCATGCAATCCACTTCAAGCCACTTTGCATTCAGAGTACATGGCTTTCTTTTCATCTGCAGACAAATTTACTATCCAACATGTTTTCTTATCATGTTTGCTCTTAATCTTCCATTAGCTTTATCTTATCTCCTCCTTTTGTAAGGAAAATTTTGGAGCAGGAGGCACAAGCTAAGCATCATACGCTAAGGCAGAGCCAGGAGGAGAAATGCTCAGCAGGAGAGACCTGAGCCATTGTCATGGCAACTGCAATCAGATAGGAATGGCTTTGTCACTGGTGGGTGGGAGAAATTCCATATATTGGGAGAGTACAAATATGTGCCCTGCTAACCTTTCCTTCCTATAAAATGCTACTTCAGCAAAATGGCTCTGGGCATTTGTGTTCTGGAAACAACAGGGAGGATATTGGACTAGCAGAATATCCCAACTAGATTCTTCCCCCTCCATACAATTGCCACTGTAATCTTATATACTGACTCGGAAGTGGTCCTCTGAGATCAAAAAAGCAGATTCCCTACTAAGCATGTTACACTTTCAGACTAGTGTTTTCATTATATATTTTAAACTACAAGAATATCTGGTGCACCTATGACCCTTTACACTCCAGGAAAATACAAAGATCTAACTCTAATTGCCAGACCCTACTAGGGTAGACTCATTGAATCAAGGGGATTTATGTAAGTATTTACTTTCTACTCAGCAATTGATTCAAAGAACCTATTCTAGTTGGAACTCACCATTGGATTTAGGCCAGAATGCATATCCTTTGATTCCCTGTGCAGTTACTGCAGTGGCTGCTGAATATTTTAAGATCATCAAGATACATTAGGGCCCACAGAGATCAGAAGAGGTTAGTGTTTATGATATGAAGCAAGTGGTTTCAGATTTAGATGAGAAATAGGAAGTGTTATCTTTTGGTTTTCGGCTTACAACTCTCAGAACACCCCAGCCAGCATAGTTAATGGGCGTTGTAGTACCAAAATGTAACATTTCTCATCTCTTGATTCAGCCACAACAGGAGTTTCGCTTCAACCTTATAATCAGGGTTATTTGTAGCTTCCTGGCTAACAGGACTTAGAGCTGTATAAGGTAAAGCACAACCATACACAATGCTGAGGGCTTAACTTCCTACACCATCCCATCCCTTCACTCTCTTCTGTTATGTCACTGTACCTGCCAACATTCAACAGGTTTTCTGAACATATTTATTCTATAACATTTTCTACATCCAACTGCCTGCTCATGTAAGTTTTCAGTATGGCTCTTTTCTTCCTTCTGAATAGTTCAACACAGCAAGCCTATGTTTTGTGTTGCAAGTCCGTAACCAGGTTCAGAAGCAAATGGCTCCCATTATTTCAGTACCTTCCTTGTGTTTTTAGTAGACTTAGGTCTAGATGGGTGGGATATAAATTGAATAAATAAATAAATTACACATTAGGGAGGGCTCTGTTGCACAGAGAAAAAAAGTTTTCCAGATTGTTTGATAGCATCATGGACATTTTGCAAGTCAGTCAGGAGACCAAACTGCTGTTAGAGCTCTGATGTTAGCTTATATCCTTGTGGAAATAGTAGAGTGTACTCAGCTTTTTCAGTTTAGGGCTACAGTTCCAAACAGATCCAGCTAGAATATTCAATTATCAGAATTAGAGATGTGCCCCTTCATCACAAGTCATCTGCTGCACATTCCTCCTGCCACCCCCTCACTGGCATCTCTACTCACTAGCTGGTGTGCATTACTCCTTCCCTTCCTATTGTGTGATCTTCCAGTCCAGACAGGAGCCTGGGTACCCTTCTCTGCCTCCTCCAGCAGTTAGCCACTCAAAGGCAGTGCTGCAGGAATCCCTGCCCCACTTCTTCATTTGAGTGGGCAGCTGATGGGAGGAGGCGGAGAAGGAAAGCCGGACTCCTGCTTGGATTGGAAGATCATGCCATGTGGAGGGAAGGAGCAACACATGCTTTCTAGTGAGTGGAGGTGTCCACAAGAGGGCTGGGGGCAGGAAATGACTATTTATCTCTAATCAGAATTGGTGTTAGTTGCAGCCTAAAACAGCTGGAGAGCACCAGACAGAGATATAGCATAAAGGGCAGTATGCTATAGGTATACTATGGCAGATCCATTGACTCAATGGATTTACAATAAGTCCTGAATCTGTAAGTAAATGAGGATAATGCATATAAAGACGTTAGGAAAAAGCATTACGCACACAAAATATTGTGTGCTGTCAAATCAATTCTAATTTAGGGTGACCCTTTTCAGGGTTTTTCAGGAGTACTCAGAAGTGGCTTACCATTCCCTTCTTCTGGGGGCACTTCTGGGATTGTGCAGTTTACCCAAGGACACAGAAGCTGGCTCTTCTGGCATGCACAGTGGAGAACTGAACTCTCAACCTCTGGCTCCACAGCCAGATACCTAACCCACTGAGCTATCCAGCCAATTAATTTCAACACAGGAGATTACAAAAAAACCTAGTGAAACCCAATATAGGAGTTACATGAGACAAGAATGCTGGGACATACTGAGAAGGTACAAGAGTGAAACCAACAAGACCCGCACATCCCTAACTCTGGCTTAGTTTTCCCAGTGCCTAGAAGCTTATTACACTTGAAGTTTAAAATACAATTTATTCAAATTTCAGTATCTACTCCAGAGAACTTTGAATGAAGGAAGAAACTTTAAGAAGAACAAAGATATTACCCATCATGGAAATGAACGGCATAGAAGCAATCCAAGACTCAGATACAGCTAGTTCTTTGCCAAAGTAAAAAAACATCAGACTCTATTGGAAACCTATTTAATCCACCGTTTCCCTTCTCCAAGTCTAATAATATATTAATAAGCCTAACATCTAATTAATGGATGGGTCACCACTCATTGGTAAAGCATTCTCTTTTAAAGAGCCAACTTAGAGCACAACTAGATGAGGGAAGTTGGAGTGATCAGGTTCATGCTTAGAAGGTTCTTATCTTTGGCGTGATCTATTTTATCTCACACTTGAACGGCCCTTCTAGTCACATGGAAGACTATTTCTCTGAAGAATCTAGATAGCTCTTCAGATCACTCCAATCTGTCCCCATTTATTTTATTGATGTCCCCAGCCCTTCCCTGGCTTTTTTTCACAGCCATCGTTCTGTGGGCCTTGGTGATGTCCCCCATTTTTTTTTAACATAAATTAAGTGACATAGCGTTACAGCAATACATCAAACTAGCATGGTATGCCTATTATACATATTGTGCTGGAAGGCACCTCCAATATATTTGAACCATACTGCATCAGTTAGGGAAATACGTTAAAAAAAAAAAAAAACAGAAAACAGAGGTGTTTTTAACACCACCAACAGGCCTCTTTGGGTGCAAATTAACCAGCCCCATGAGCTACAGAATGGGACAGCCAGGAGTGCTCCCACTTGTACCAATTAAACACTGTGCCAGAAAGTAGCAGGGCAGCTTGTAAAAGGAGGACAGACCACTCTTATTGAAAGCACAGGTGGAAATAGGGTGAGCCAAACTGCAGCAAAACGAAACAAATAATGAGCTATATGCCTGTCTGATTGCCCTCCTAGTGTTGAGACATTACAATTTTATATTCAAAATGACACTGAAGTCAACATAATGCAGGTTTATCATCATAGAATTTTTATTAGAAAATTTATATTACATCATCACTCTCATAGATATAAAATCTTCCCAGAAAAAAAAAGATATGAAAACCTCTGAAGGAAAATCAGCTGGTGTCAAGAGACAGTAATGCAATTATGAAAGAACATTTGAACATGTTCACAGTCCTTAACATGGTTGAGCTCCCAAACAAGAAATTCAGATTCAGCTTTACAAGGAAGAACAAAGAGAATGTTTTCAAGTGTATATCATAGAGCACATGCTTCTTTTAGAAGTCCTGCTGAATTATCTTTAAAACTTAAAAGGAATGAATCCAGAGTTTCGTACTCTTAGTGACAGCATCCTCTGCACACAGTTCTTTTCAGACGGCTTCCAAGAGTAGAAAAGGAGAGGAAGATTCCTTTATATGTCAGCACTAAGGGCCACCTCTGACACTGCTCTGTAGGGTATCAAACCTCTGGAGCAGATATTTAGAGATACAGGGAGCAGAAGGGAGAGCAAGGATTAACAAATTTGCTTCCTTCCTCTTCCATTAGCAGGTCAAAAACCTTCCAAAGAAAGAGGACACCCGTCCAACTGCTCTATGCTTCGAAAATGGCACTAATCAAGACTATGTGAAAGTGTAATTGCAGAAAAACATTCACAAAAAAAACAAAAGCTAATTGCTTACAGGGAAAAAAATCAATGTGAGATGGACAGTGATTCTGAAAACAAAGGAATTTATTCAATTAATTAATGTTACCACAAAAGGCTTTTTCCATATAAAGTAATTTTGAATTGAAGCAAACATCTTCTGCTTAAGAAACATTTAGACATGGTTTCAAAGCTGGTCCTGGTTAACACCGAGTGAACATCTGAGTAAGCCTGGTGTAAGCCTGGGTTACAGGAACCATGTTCTATCATAGGGAACAGTAACTTCAGATAGTCCAAGAGCCATTTTTGCCCTCCACTAGACTTCTTGAAAGCCAGGCTGGTGAGAGTTTTAAGGCCTAAAATGGGCAGTGTACGAGTACTGTATACAAATATATCACATAATTCTAGAGACCATGATTTTTGACTCTGTTGTCAATTTTTCTTCTGGGTTCATCACAGGAAACACACCCATTCTTCAAGCAACACATCACCTATTTTTCAGAGGTTTCCCAAAAATTTACCATCATGTTTTCTTTCCATAAAATAGTTATGGGACTTCCTGCTAACATTTAAGAATTTCTTCTAAGAGTATTTAAACTTGAATGTTTCTTGCAGAAAATTATTCCTTTATAGCTTACTGTACTTCCTCCCTCCCCCAAATATATTTATCCAGTTTTCAACAATGAAATACCATTAATATAATTTGATGTAGGTGAAATATAAAATAGAAAACCTCCATAATTTGAAAATTATAAAGATTATTTTAAATGTAATCTTTAAGCCTGGAATTTTAGCTAAACACACTTAACAATAACATGGCTCAAATCAGATAAAAAGACTAGACAAATGCATGAGCATAAGCCATTTTTCCAGTTACTAATACGTCTATCAGTTTTCAAGGAACTCATTTATGTTTGTACCACTAAACGTAGAAAAAGTGTTAGGGTTAAAGGAACCGGAATCATATTGAAGTGCAATTTACAGTGCAATCTTGTATCTATGCAGAAGAAAGAGCCAAAAGGACTTACTCCAATGTAAGAATTTAGAAGATTGCAGCCTAAATTGCTTTGAAAGTTTTTGTACAACTTTTTACACCAGGAACTTTTAAATCGGGCCTAGAGGACCTTCTACTATCCAAACATTTCCTCCTTCAATTCCTATCAGTCTTCCAGCTTGGACAATGGTAGAGGGTTTTAAGAGCTATAGTTCAACATTTCTGATGCTTAAAAGTTTCCTATTCTTGTTTTAAATCCACACAGCTCCAATAACTCTGTGAAAAATACTTGATACAAAAATTAATAGTCACAAAGAAGTTATTTCTTCTCAGTAACAAACATTGGCAATGGAACCATGAACACCAGGGGTATTCTAAAACATTTAGGCACCTGATTTTCCATGTACTGTTTGCTGCAATATAATTGGCAATTCACCTTTTGCATGTCTTCAGTTTTCTGGGTATGCTGCACTTATAGCAGATCAATTCTACACAATTCTTTGTTCTCCCATTTTCTTTATGATATCATTTCTCTACATTCAAATAGTCAAAACATTGAAAATACCATCAGCCCAAATTTGCTGTGGGAGATCACAGTGTGACCATCACTGTCAAATAAAAAACACATGTTTTTAATGTATTACTTTCACCCGCCCACCCTCCACAAACCCTGCATGGACACCAAAGGAGTAACAAGACATATCAAAAAAATAAGGCACATTTATTTTGATATGGTAATATTGAAATAGAAAAAAAAAAACATTTCAGAGAGCATTAGTATCCAAATGTTTCATTAAAAAATCTTGTCCTCATGAAATTATAGACTTGACTTTCCGTATTTTATATATGGGAACAATTGCACACATCCCAATCTGTCAAGTAACAAAACGGAAAGTTATTTGTTTTTTATATTTCTAAAGGAAGATGAATCTGAAATTCCAGAATTTATGTTGTCCAACATGGTAGCATAAGGTGGTTAAAATCTTTCACTCTTCTCAAAGGCTCTTGAATTTCACTCTATTTCTAGAGTGGAATAAATGCAGACTCCATGTGGAACACATTGAAATTGTCATTTATACAAGTCTTAATGAGTATTTGGCCAATAGCTTTGCCAGAGCATAGTCAGGCTCAATACCAAGTTGTATCTGGGATTTCAACAATACATAATTATTTAAAAGCTGCCTACAGAGGAAAAAAATCATTTGTAATCAATGTTGCCTTTTAAACAGAAAATCATAAATTTAGAAGCCATAAAGTAATATTTAACCTGAGATTCACTTTGTTGATGAGTAATAACTGTTTCTCCTCCAATTGTTGTATTTATACTGATGTTGGCATTTTATCAGAGAATACAAAAGTTGTTTGCATCATGGCTTTTTACGGTGCTGGAGATCAAATAAATTCTAGAATGAATTATTGTCACAGGATTGAAAAAGAATGTGCTTCTTATTGCACACCAATCTTTGAGAAGACGAAAGTTGCAAATCCCTCCTTACTATTCAAGTTCAAAAGTCACGTTTCATCTCAGCTGAATTCTGTATGTGTTTATCTCCATAGGGCTCATACTGATCTCACTCATGTTTCTGGCATCAGGTGGTGAATGCATCAAAGTTAAGGATGTTGGTGTAAGACTTTCCACATGGAATTTGTTAAAGAGTTTGTGCATCTTCAGCTGAAAATTTCAAAAGAAAAGACAATTACTCCTATTATATAACCTGACACAAACTTTAATTTCAATCTAATAGTAGCTATGGAGGACCCTGTCAGCAAACAAGTTAAAAAGAAGTTCCTAAATATAGAAATTTGAAAGCCACTGATCTGAAAATATGGCCTAGCAATCTCTAAATGATGTGGGCTAAAACAGGTATGTTTCCATGTATGTAAGTACACTTAAATGCTAACTGACAAAAAAGCCAGGCTTTAGTGTAATCATTACAATGCAACATTTGGCTTCCCAAGACAGGTAGGAATTACACCACAATGAGACAGAGGTTTCCATTAACATCTGAGAAAAACATGCAAGTCAACCATGAAAGCTTGTTTATTATTTTATGATAACTTGGTTGGTCTCAGTAAAATTATTACCCAAATTGATTTTGAAATTCCCTAAGTACTGTAGCATCACAAATTCCTTTGCTTTTGTGTGTTTAGGCATTCGCAAATGGGACCCTGAAACATGGATGACTGATTTCCTAGCACCTGAAGATGGAACAAGGTTTGAAGGGTCTGGAGAACTCAAGCACATGTTCATTTTTTGGGGGTGACATTTTGGTGGATTTCCAAAGACCATCCTGTATCTGCTCTCTTAAGGATGTTGCGTTCCTTAAACAGCATGCAGCATGGCAAACATCTCTTAAAAACTTTGCAGTATGAGATTTTTTGTCATTTAAAAGTCATTCACAACAAAGCATGGTGCTGTCATTTAGAAGAAAGAGACTGAAAACTCATACAGGTTTGTCAGAATCAAGCCTGCAGTAGTCAAGTGGATCTCACTCAACTTATTTTACACATCCACCGTATGTGCAATATTAATTTATTGTACAATACCTTTCCCTGAGTGGTAGAGCAGAGGAGTCCCAGGTCTGTTCTTACGAATCTACAATCAAACCCCTTCCGGTGAACAATAAGGGCTGCTTCGTCTGATGGCCCTGAATCTGCCTGAAAATAAAAGGGAAAAAATGTTGGGGACAAATTAGCAAAAGCTTTGGGTAAAGACATAAACTTTGAATTTTGTTAAACTGGACATCATCCTCTGAGAAGACTCTAAGGAGAGAAAGAGAAACAGAATCAGGGAGACAGATATCATCCCAGAGTATGTTCTAGCTGAGCTGCCCTTCCCATCACAGGGACTGCTCTGTTGGAGGACCCCCAAAAGAGAGAGGGAGGCTCGGGACTGCCTCAAGCCTTTGGCTTCTGCTGCACTTTCCCTTTCCTCAGCCAAGGCAGCTCCATGTGAAAAGTTCTATGAGAGAGGGACTTCCAGGCAAAGGCAACCACAGAGCCTGTTGTATTCCCCAAAGACCACCGTTCCAGGCAAAGGCAACCACAGAGCCTGTTCTATCTGGACTGTTGTATTCCCCAAAGACAACCATTCACCTTGCTTGTTGTGTGGGAAGGTAAAAACCCTGCCCTGGTACCACTACTCTTCAGCAAATGGATTCCAGAAGCATACTGCTCTGAGCTTGGAGCTTCCACTGAGGCATTAAGTGCAACAGCCATTGATATACAGATAGCCTCCTTTCACCAAATTTCTTTCAAGGACGATTAAGCTGGTGATTAAGAACATCATCTGGTAGAGGCACATTCCAGGTATGATATCACTAATGCATCAAGTTAACTAACACGCTGCCTGCTGCATGACACAAAGAAACAGCTTGCCTCTTCTGCAGACTTTTTACTATTCAGAACATTAATAAAGTGGTGCCTCGACTTGCAAACGTCCCTACTTACAAACATTTCCACTTACGAAAAGCTCCGGCCGCAACATTTTGCTTAGACTTGCGAACGGAGCTTCCACTTACGAACAGAAAAAAGGCAGGGGAAAAAGGTGGGCAATTCAAATTTCTAAGTGTAGGTGGCAACGAGGTTGCTTATTTGTACTGTAGCTCTTTCACTTTCGGCAGTTAGATAGTGTGTCGTCGGAGGAGGTTTGGGAGAGCCTCCTGCTTCGGAGTGAGTGTGTCTATGTGTCTGTAGCACTTTCGGCAGTTAGATAGTGTGTCGTCGTCAGACGTTTGGGAGAGCCTCCTGCTTCGGAATGAGTGTGTCTGTGTGTCTATAAAGAGGTAAGCTTCTGTTTTCTCCTGTTAAAACTGTTCTGGGTGGGTTTGGGCTGAGCCAGGTATGTTTCTGTGCTGTGTTGTTGGTGGCTTTACTGTTTATTTTTGGTTTTCCCCCCTTCTTCTTAAACCTCAGCAACGGAGGTGGCTTTAGTGTTTGTTTCTGGAGCTTTTTTCCCTCTTCTTAAACCTCAGCAACAGAGTGCCTTCCGACCGGGCGTGCTGTGTTCTTTTTAATTTTTTGGTTGTCTTCTTAAACGCCAGAATGGATTAATCAGTTTTCAATGCATTCCTATGGGAAATGGTGCTTCAACTTACGAAAATTTCGACTTACGAACACCATTCCAATACGGATTAAGTTTGTAAGTCGAGGCACCACTGTATTTTAAAGTCTGGCCATTATTCATCTAATCTAAAATTATATATTTGTTATATTTTACCCCACATTTTCATTTAAAAATAGTGACATCTAATGTCCATAAAACACACTTAAACCATAAAACCATTAAAAACAGCACTCTGCAAACTTGAAACCGATTTTAAATTTCAGCTTAAAGAAATGTGTTTTCATACTCTTCTTCAAAGCCACAAGTTAAACGACTGATTGTAACCATGACATAAGTACATTTCACAGTCTGGTAGCAAGACAAGAGACAGCCTCTCCAGTCTGCCCATCAAGCAAGCCTCTGCAGGTGATCGTTCCTTCAAGAGGACCTTTCTTGACCATCTTAACAGGTTTATAAGGAGACAGGAACTCCCTATTAAGGGCAATAAAAGTTGAACGGGGCTCAGAAAGCAACTGGCAACCAGTGCAGCTCTTCCATTATCACATTAGCATGATTTCAGTATCATTCTCCTAATATCCCATTTTTCTTCCAGGAAAGAGATTCAAGGCAAAATATATAAAAGACAAATGCAGTTACAATCAATTGCAGTGGTGCCTCATCAACGCCCCTACCTATGAACATTTCGACTTACGAGCAGCTCTGGTTGCAAAATTTTGCTTTGACTTACCAGAGCTTCCACTTATGAACACAAAAAGGAGGGGGAAAGGGCAGGAAATTCAAATTGCTAACTGTAGGTGGCCACAAGGCTGCTTCTTTTTAGCTCTTTCGCCCCAGCAGTTAGAGAGTGTGCGATCCAAGGAGGCTGCCTGCCAGGATAAGGTGCTGCTTTTTAATTTTAAAAAATTGTTCTGGGTATTTTTGCAGTGTGATTTTCAGCTGGGGGGGTTATGTTTCTGTGCTGTGATGGGTCTTGAGGGGTTTGTTTTTTGGTTCCCTCCATATTTCCAATTAGGGTTGGGGGTTTTGGTTGCTTTTGGGGGGGTTTCCCCATTTTCGATGTGTCTTACATGCTTCCCCATGCTTTTTGCTTTGTTTTCTGTGCTGATTCGACTTACGAACATCTTCTGGGAGGGATTAAGTTCGTAAGTTGAGGCACACTGTACAATATTTTTTGAAAAACACAATTAAACATACTGCATGCTAAAACAAACTAAATAAAATCCATTTGAAGCCATCTAAAAAGCACATTTAAAACTTTTTTTAAAAAAAGTACCATGTTTTCCTTCAAAAAAAAAAAAAAAAACCCAGTCCCTTGCCAAATGCCTGCCTAAACAAAAACAGCAGCAAGGAGGGAACCAGCATGGCTTCCCTTGGGAAGAAGTCCTACAGCCTGCAACAGTCCCAATATTATGTATCAGTTAAAGCAGGGGTCCCCAACCCCCAATACATGGCCCGGTGCCGGCCCGTAGGCTTGCTGGAACTGGGTCGTGGAGATGGATCTCTGCCCCCCCACACGGTGGGCGCGTCACGCTTGCAAAGGGGTGTGTCGTGTTTGTGGACTGACACACCCACTGGAAAGCGTGACACATACCCCCGCGAGTGCGGGGGTGCCACCACACCCTCACACAGAGCTTGCATCTCCCAAATGGTCTGCAATCCCAAAATCCGGTCCGTAGGCTTGCTGGAACTGGGCCATGGAGATGGATCTCTGCTCCCCTGAACAGTGGGTGTGTCACGCTTGCAGAGGGGTGTGTCATGTTTGTGGACTGACACACCCACTGGCAGGCGTGACACATCCCCCCGTGAGTGCAGGGGTGCCCCCACACCCTCACACAGAGCCCGCATCCCCCAAATGGTCTGCAATCCCAAAAAAGGTTGGGGAATGCTGAATTAAAGTTTACTGCTGTATTTTTCATCAAATGAAGCTCCTGGATGCTCTGCGAGACTGACCCCACATAGAGCCAATTTCAGTAGCCAAGGCATGATGTAACTAAGGCATAGATGACAACTGATGAATCAAGTCAACTCAGAAAAGGTTGCAGTCTGTATGCAAAGCAGAAATTGTAAAAAAAAACACCCCACTCTCATTGCCACTTTGGAGTCCAATACAGAGTCAAGGCTCTCAACCTCATCTTTTAATGGGAAGAAAATCCTTTCCAGAACAGGATGAATCCCAGTCCTTCTGACAAGTAACGTATCTGTCTACTCAGAGATTAATTTCAGCTTATTTCACCCTCCTTTATCACCAGGCAAAATTCAATATGTCAGCTATATCTTTGCTATGAGAAGAGAAGGGGCAACAGAGCTGGGTGTCATGAACGTACTGATGATGCCTCACTCCTAAGCTTCCAATGATCTCACACAACTGCTTCATACTGATGCTAAATAACATAGGTCTCAGAATACTTCAAAGGGAATGATATAAAACAGTGATCTCCCAGCACTACCTTCTAGGTATGAACTGATGGGAAGGATCTGAATCATTGCAATCCAGTGCCTCCAGTCCAGCCAGACCATGGTCAATGGTACTGAAAACTGCAAGAGGTCCAGGAGGACTAATAGGGCAGCACTCCCCCACCATCTCCTCACCAGAGAAGACAATCTACAAGGCAACCAAAGCAGTTCCACATCATAGTCAAAAGTTTGACTGCCATCGTCCAGCTGATCAGCATCACCCAGTAGTGTTGCAGCACAATTACCTTCTCAACTGCCTAAGCCAAAAATGCATATCTTCCCCAGTTTATTTAAACAGGAATATGGCATAGAAATATAGCAGTACCATGATGACCGTATTATACCACCCCCCCTTTCTGAGAAAGGATGTAATATAAGCGTGACATATCTGGGATGAGTGCTGTTTTAAAATGTTATCATCTTCTCAGTTACCAATACCTGCAATATTCTCTCTCTCTAACTTCAGTCAAAGTATTACAATCTACTAATGCAAAAGCTCAACTTTCTTTGCATTTTGAGATTGGTTTAAATATGTTACTATTTATTTTTCCAATAATATGCATCATTAGCTAGAGAAATCCACAATTTTATTGTTGCTAATACAAGAATGGTGGTTTGGAGTTTGTAAAATGCAAGACATTTATCATTCTCTACTTCAGCAGTTTCACATAATGAAAGCGTATTTATATAAAAAATAAATTTCAATTGGTATATCTGTGCTGTAAAAAAGCAGAACACATCTATAAATCTGAATTCACAGAATTATACAACTGTATTTGCAGAGTACACTTTTGGGAGGAAAAATGCTGTGGATTTTGATTTGATTATCACAGCAGCCACACTTAAGTTCCTATTTTCTATAATAGCCGCCTAGAGTAGACTATCTGGCCAGATAGGCGGGGTATACTGTAAATCTAAATGAATGAATGAATGAATGAATGAATGAATGAATGAATGAATGAATGAATGAATGAATGAATGAATGAATGAATAAGGTGGCTGCACTGGTTGTCCAAAGTTTTTTGACATGACCTGGGCAATTGGTATCAATGATGTTCCAATTTCTGAGCAAAAGATATTGAGATAGCATTCAGTTTCCTCTCAGCAAATTCCGTAAGATTTCAATTGCATTTTCCAGAACAAATAGTTTGTATCTATTAAACAGAATATTACAGAAATATTTGTTTTAACTTACCTTGGACTGGATTGTCCTTAAGTTAACCATATGCATATCACAGGGCATGGATGAAAGTAGTGGAGAAAAAATATTCAAAAGTGATGGGACACCCGCTTCTGCATAAACAACCATGGGAATCAGAGGATGATTTAGGAAAGATGATGTTATGTGACTAAGGAGAGAGGGATAGCTGACTGATGACTTTTCTTCTTGCTAGGAAAAAAAAAGATAATAGTGAACAATTTGGATATAATTATTTATATTGATATATGAACTTAGCAATAAAACTAAGGTTTAAATCCAACCGTTAGTCCCAACTAGAATAGAGCCACCGAAGAGCAGGACTTCTTAAGCCAATAGTAATCCAAGTCACATGGAATCCATGGATCTATTCTAGTCAGGATTAAAGATGAGATTTATACCTATCGTATTTTTCGCTCCATAAGACACACTTATTCCCCCCAAATAGAGGGGGAGAAAGTATGCACGTCTTATGGAATAAATACAGTAAAAAAAGGGTTTGGCCACCACAACCCAGAAGCCTCCCACTGCCATGCTGGGAGGCCTCTGAACTGGCACCAGAGACTGCTTGCTGTTTGGACCTTACCATTCTGCACTGCTAACTTTCGAGGATCTGCTTACCACAGCCCACCTGGAAAACCAGCAAGGCCAACAGGCCTATGGTAGCAGGCAGTGAAAACAGCAAAGGACCAAAGGGAAAAAGGTGATTCTAGAAAGACCAGGGAAAACCATAAACACAGTCCCCCACTTAGGTAGTTGATTTTCCCACATTTGGGGAAATCACAGGGGTCAGCACATCCAAAGTGCAATAGATGAGCCTTACCCTGGGAAAACCACTTTTACAATAATGGTATCT